TATTTTTATTTATTTTATGATTCATTTTCTTAAAATGTTTTTATACATGGTGATTCATATCCCCCCTTATGTTTTATACATGGAGATCATATCCCCCCTTATGTATTATACATGGAGATCATATCCCCCCTTATGTATTATACATGGTGATCATATCCCCCCTTATGTATTATACATGGAGATCATATCCCCCTTATGTTTTATACATGGAGATCATATCCCCTTATGTATTATACATGGAGATCATATCCCCCTTATTTTATTTTTAATGGAGATCATATCCCCCTTATGTATTATACATGGAGATCATATCCCCCCCTTATGTATTATAAATGGAGATCATATCCCCCTTAATCTCCTCCTTTCAGTAGTGAATAACATTCAGTTCCTTCATCTTTCCTCATAGTGATCTCCTCCATGCGATCTTATCTGTTTGGTTGCCCTTCTCTCTCAGTTCTCAATGTTCTTTTTGTGAATTGGAGCCCAAAACTGAACTGCATATCCCCAGATGAGGTCTTACTAAGAGGAAGCTCTGGTTTTTTATGTGACGATATGTTTTTTGTAATAGATTTGCAGATGAAATTATTGGCGGTTAGCCGGTTTGGCTGTTTCTACGCCTTTTTTCTTCTGTTTTTTGTTGCTAGAGTGTATTTTGGTGACACCAACCCATACGCTGTAACTAGGAGGCACCACACCATTTCTTTAATATTCGGGGGAATCCCCAGATGTAGTCCTGGATTCTTTCTTTTTTTTTCTTTGTATTCTTCCCGTATATTTGCAGATGCATGGCATGAAAACCCGGGGAACAATATTTTGTGCAGACCATCTGAAGAGGATCTGGGGAATTTTTATATACGCTCTGAAAAAGCATGTCTTACCATGGTGTAGCCGTGTGCCACTCTCAGGAGCTCCATGCATCCCTGTGCGTCCCCAAACGAGCAGATTCCCAGGCAATTGGACGGATGGAGCTGCTTCATTAGGAAGTTTGCAGCAGACTTCTATGACTTGAGAAAGCTGCAGGAGACAGGCGGCGCCAGCAGACTCTCTATAGTGTCCTCCTTGAGTTCTAAAATACCTGAAGAACGAGACATTAGAAGCACACGGTGAGAACCGATCGTATGAGATGAGAGGGAAGTCCACAGGAAAGAGTCACTTGTATTGCCTATCAGGGGCGGACTGACCATTTGGAAACTCGGGCATTAGCCGAGGGCCCGGGGTCAGTAGGGGGCCCATGAGATGCCCCTGGTACCTTTTTCATAGGCTTTTTTTTTGAGTTTGGGCAAGGACACAGGGGCCCCATGGTCCCCTAATGCGCGGGGGCCCCATGAGTTGTCAGTCCACCCCTGTTGCCCTATCTATGTTGCCTTTATAAAATATTGTCAAGATGAAGATTCCAAAATGAAGATCTCACATCTGAGGTCATGGATTCACCTTCAGACGTTCATCCTCAACTAATCGGGATCCATTACCTTTCCCCCCCTTCCAGTCCGGACACTTTCCCCCCCCCCTTCCTGTCCGGGGACACTTTCCCCCCTTCCAGTCCGGACACTCTCACCCCTTCCAGTCCGGACACTTTCACCCCTTCCAGTCCGGACCACTTTCCCCCCTTCCAGTCCGGACAATTTCCCACCCTTCCAGTCCGGACACTTTCCCCTTCTTCCAGTCCGGACACTTTCCCCCCCTTCCAGTCCGGACACTTTCCCCTTCTTCCAGTCCGGACACTCTTCCCCCTTCCAGTCCGGACACTTTCACCCCCTTCCAGTCCGGACACTTTCCCCCCTTCCCCAGTCCGGACAATTTCCCCCCCTTCCAGTCCGGACACTTTCCCCTTCTTCCAGTCCGGACACTTTACCCCCCCCTTCCAGTCCCGAACACTTTCCCCCCTTCCAGTCCGGACACTTTCCCCCCCCTTCCAGTCCGGACACTTTCCCCCCCTTCCAGTCCGACACTTTCACCCCCTTCCAGTCCGGACACTTTCCCCCCCTTCCAGTCCGGACACTTCCTCCCCCCTTCCAGTCCGGACACTTTCCCCCCCCTTCAAGTCCGGGACACTTTCCCCCCCTTCCAGTCCGGACACTTTTCCCCCTTCCAGTCCGGACGCTTTCCCCCCCTTCAGTCCGGACACTTTCCCCCCCCCCTTCAGTCCGGACACTTTCCCCCCCCTTCAGTCCGGACACTTTCCCCCCCTTCAGTCCGGACACTTTCACCCCCTTCCAGTCCGGGACACTTTCCCCCCCTTCCAGTCCCGGACACTTTCACCCCCTTCCAGTCCGGACACTTTCCCCCCCTTCCAGTCCGGACACTTTCTCCCCCTTCCAGTCCGGACAATTTCCCCCCCTTCCCCCCCAGGCTAATTTTTCAGCTTTCAGCGATATCACAATTTGAATGACAATTGCGCGGTCATGCAACACTGTACCCATATGAATTTGTTAGCATATTTTTTTGAGACAGATAAAACTTTATTTTGGTGGTATTTATTCACCGCTGGGATTTTTTATTTTTTTTTTGCTATATAAATGAAAAAGTCCAAAAACATTTGAAAAAAAAGTTTTTTTCTTATAAAATTTTTTTTTTTTTCAAAAAAATAATATTTCTTCATAAATCTTGGCCAAAATTTATTCAGTTATCATTTTAGTAAAAAATATTTTTTATTTTTTTTTACATTTTTTTTTTTTTATTTTTTTTATATTATGATTTATGGGTTTTTTTTTTACATACCGTCACCCTAGCAGTACGGTGTCACCATGGTGACACTGTACTACTTGTGGGGGGTGATGAACATTTTTTTTTTTTTACACTGATTGCTCTTAAACCCATATAGGATGTAAAAGCAATCATTTCTCCTTCTCTCTGGCTGCATTCTTGCAGCCATTGAGAAATACTGTGTGAGCTGTGATTGGTCACAGCTTGTCACATGGTACAAGGCTGTTGTGAATGGCCCTGTACCATGTGACCTCTGTGATCATTCACAGATTTCACACGTAGTAAACAATGATGTCAGAAGTGACATCTTGCTTAATACTCTTCATGTGATCACTGATTGGCCAATCAGTGATCACATGATCAGGACCTCACACACTGTGTCCGGAGGATCCACACGCTCCCAGGGAGCAACGCACAGGCAGGGAAGCGGGAGGATGGTTTATAAATGGATGGGAAGTGGTTAAATACGAGGTGGTATCAAAAAAAGTTTTGAGATTAGTTTTGTAACACATCAACAGATGGCAGCAGAAGACTGCATGCACAGTCACAGGGAGCACCGACCTTCATAAGTCAGCATGCCAAAAAACTGATTTGAGTGATGAGTAATTCTTATGTAACGTTTTTTACATCACGAGGCGATATCAAAATGTTTTTAGGACTAGTTTTGTAACACGCCAACAGATGGCAGCACAAGGCTCTACGCACAGTCACAGGAGCACCAACCATCAGTGTGACAAAAGACATCATCCTGCGTACATCGGGAGCTGTGCAACTGGTGCTGTTCTGACCACCTGCGTTGTCACGTCCGCTGTTTCATCATGGACAGCAAGTTAGAACAAAGAGCAAATTCTGCGTGAAACCGCGCAAATCGCTGGATCTCCACAATGCTGTCAAAACGGCGACCTTTGAGCTGGATCCTCATCTTCAGGAAGAGGACATCTTCAGGGGTTGAACTCGTTGAAGGTCTTCCTAATCTCTCGTCTTCTTCCAAAGATGTTCTTCCGCTCTTGCGTCACTCAAAACACCTCGAACGACTCATTGCAGCATCACCGTAAACTTGCCGAATCGCATCGAACGTCTCTGTGGCAGGGTTTGCCCAGTTTCTTGCAGAATTTCACGTTTGCTCTTTGTTCTAACATGCTGTCCATGATGAGATAGCAGGCGTGGTATCGCACGTGCTCAGAACAGCACCAGTTGCACACAGCTCCCGATGTACACAGGACGATGTCTTTTTGTCACACTGACGGTTGGTGCTCCCTGTGACTGTGCGTGCAGCCTTGTGCCGCCATCTGTTATCGTGTTACAAAACTAGTCCTAATAACATTTTGATATCTCGTGATGTATAAACGTTACATAAGGATTACTCATCGCTCAAAGCAGTTTTATCATCTATGAAAATTGTGTACTTCGCTCCACGAAACGCATAAAAGATTAGATGCCTCCCAGATCCTATAGAGGGCCACAGAGCCCCTCAACCTCCCACAGTGTCCCCCAACCTCCAATAGTGTCCCCCAACCTCCAATAGTGTCCCCCCAACCTCCCACAGTGTCCCCCCAACCTCCAATAGTGTCCTCCGTGCTCCCACAGTGTCCCCCAACCTCCCACAGTGTCAGTGGAGAGGAATAGTGCCCCATCATTGGTGTCAGTGGGAGGAATAGTGACCCATCATTGGTGTCAGTGGGAGGAATAGTGCCCCATCATTGGTGTCAGTGGGAGGAATAGTGCCCCGTCATTGGTGTCAGTGGGAGGAAATAGTGTCCCATCATTGGTGTCAGTGGGAGGAATAGTGTCCCATCATTGGTGTCCAGTGGGAGGAATAGTGTCCCATCATCGGTGTCAGTGGGAGGAATAGCGCCCCATCATTGGTGTCAGTGGGAGGGAATAGTGCCCCATCATAGGTATCAGTGGGAGGAATAGTGCTCCATCATTGGTATCAGTGGGAGGAATAGTGGGCCCCCATCATTAGTGTCAGTGGGTAGGAATAGCGCCCCATCATTGGTGTCAGTGGAAGGAATTAGCGCCCCATCATTGGTGTCAGTGAGAGGAATAGCGCCCCATCATTAGTGTCAGTGGAGGAATAGTGCACCGATCATTGTGACAGTGGGGAGGAATAGTTGCCCCATCATTGGTGTCAGTGAGGAGGAATAGCGCCCATCATTGGTGTCAGTGGGAGGAATAGTGCCCCTTCATTGGTGTCAGTGGGAGGAATAGCTTGCCCCATCATTGGTATCAGTGGGAGGAATAGTGCCCCATCATTGGTGTCAGTGGGAGGAATAGTGCCCCATCATTGGTGTCAGTGGGGGAGGAATACTGCCTCCCTCATTGGTGTCAGTGGGAGGAATAGTGCCCCATCATTGGTGTCAGTGGGGAGAGGAATAGTGCCCCATCATTGGTATCAATGGGGGGAATAGTGCCCCATCATTGGTGTCAGTGGGAGGAATAGTGCCCCATCATTGGTGTCAGTGGGGGAGGAATAGTGCTCCATCATTGTGTCAGTGGATGGAATGGTGCCCCATCATTGGTATCAGTGGGAGGAATACTGCCCCATCATTGGTGTCAGATGGGAGGAATAGTGCCCCATCATTGGTGTCAGTGGAAGGTAATAGTGCCCTCATCATTGGTGTCAGTGGGAGGAATAGTGAACCCATCATTGGTGTCAGTGGGAGGAATAGTGCCCCATCATTGGTATCATTGGGAGGAATAGTGCCCCATCATTGGTCTCAATGGGGGGAATAGTGCCCCATCATTGGTGTCAGTGGGAGGAATATTGACCCATCATTGGTGTCAGTAAGTGAGGAATGAGTGCCCCATCATTGGTATCATGTGGGAGGAATCAAGTGCCCATTACATTGGTGTCAGTGGGAGGAATAGTGCCCCATCATTGTAGTACAGAGGGTAGGTATTAGTGCCCCATCATTGGTGTCAGTGGGAGGAATAGTGACCCATCATTGGTGTCAGTGGGAGGAATAGTGCCCCATCATTGGTATCAGTGGGAGTATTAGTGCCCCCATCAGTGGTGTCAGTGGGAGGAATAGTTGTCCCTTCATTGGTGTCAGTGGGAGGAATTAGTGTGCCCAACATCGTTGTCAGTGGGAGGAAATAGCGCCCCATCATTGGTGTCAGTGGGAGGAATAGCGCCCCATCATTGTATCAGTGGGAGGAAAAAGCGCCCCATCATTGGTGTCAGTGGGGGAAAAGCGCCCCC